AAATTCTCATCTCTCCTTTCTTTTGAGTAATATTAAGATACCCAAGGTTGGAAGTTATAGGGTTAGACATAATTTTCTCTTCTTAGGCTCAGTACATGTAGTTTAATTGTCATTTTTTTTTTCCTATTTTGCTTTTACTTCCTACGAGTCCAACTTTTTTCTTGCGTGGGAAAAGAAAATTTTGAACTGGTATGACCAATGTTTTAGGTCTTACATCAAGTCCTTGGTAAGCTAATGTAGTTAGTTGGTTGATACTACAGGAGCAGAGCTTGGACATAATAAACATGCTGTAAAGCTGTAAGCTTTCGAGCAGCTTGTTTATCTTCTATTAGCCACCAAGAGCTTTGCATAGTATGGTCAGGAAGTCTTGTACTAAGGATTTGAAGGAAAAGCTTTGTGTTAGAATCGTGTGTGAATGTATAGACATAGCCGTTTAATCAAGCTTGGACTTGACACTAATGCAGTATGCGCCACAAAGCTCATCAACAAGTATCTGTCCTTAGGGCTTGCCAACTCTCTTAGTCATGCCCACCAACTGTTTGATCAAGTACCCTCGAAAGACCTACCTTTATGGACATCCCTAATCTCCGCTTATGCTCGCCACAACCAACTTGACAATGCCCTCCATCTCTTCTCCCTTATGCTCCAGCAAACCCAACCAGATTTAGATGTCCGACCAAATCACTTTGTCATCACTGCTGTTGCCCGGGCCATTGCATTTGCTCCAGAACACATCTTATTGGGCCAACTTCTTCATGCCCATGTTGTCAAATCTGGATTTTTACCTGGAAAAGTCATTGTTGAGACTGCCTTTCTTGATATGTATTCCAAGTGTGGGGTCATAGAGTCTGCAAGGAAGTTGTTTGAGGAAATGCCATACAGAAACTTAGTGACTTGGAATGCTATGTTGTCTGGGTACATGCAAAATGGAATGGAAACTCATGGGTCAAAGTTGTTTTACCGGATGAAGTGTGGAGAGGTTTATGCACCTGATGAGTATAGTATTTCAACCGTGTTGTCTGGTTCTGTACAAACTCAAGATCTTGTTTTGGGTATGCAAGTTCATGCATATGCAATTGTTGGTGGTTTTGAAGTAAATTGTGCGAATTCAATTGCTAATATGTATTTTTCTTGTGGTAGAATTGCCTGTGCCACGAAAATTATGGATGCAGTTTACCAGGATACTGTTTCAAAGCTTTTAAGCATAAGAGGTTATATTTTAAATCAAAGTTATGCTGCTGGATTTAGGTATGTTTGCTCTCTGGGTAATGTAGTAGAAATTTTAAACACAGATTATACAATTTTTGTGCCTCTACTAACTATCTGCACAAAGTTATCTCTGGTCAGAGTCGGGAAGCAAGTCCATGGCCTCTTTATTGCTATGACGAATTCATATAAGATTATTAATCTATTAGGGGAGGATGGGGTAATTATTGGTAGTGCATTAATTGATATGTATTGCAAATGTGGTGATGTTGGTGAAGGCAAGAAAGTTTTTGAAACATGGCCGTGTGTACATGTTTCACTCTGGAATGCATTAATATCTGGTTATATATTCAATGGCCTTATTGAGACTGCTAATGTGCTGTTTCAGGCTATGCCCAAGAAAGATATTGTTTCTTGGACTAGCATGATCACAGGATTTGTGCAGAATAACATGCCCCAAGAAGGATTAGATTTATTGGCTAAAATGTATTGCACTGAAGGGGGATATGAGATTGATGGAAACTGCTTAACTTTTGTAGTGTGCCTGGAAGCATGTACCCATCTAACAGATTTGGAAAAAGGAAAGCAGATACATGCAAAAATCATTAGGAGATTACCCGGTGTAGATACTAGTAATGTGGTTGTTGGAACAGCTTTAGTAGAAATGTATTCTAGATCAGGCAATTTGCATTACTCACGCACAGTTTTTGATTCAATGAAGCAGAAAAACATCGTTGCATGGACATCTATTCTCACGGGTTTTGCAGCTCATGGGTGTGGTTTACAAGTCCTTGAAATGTTCCAAAAAATGCTAGATAATGGCATTCAGCCAAATGAAGTGACATTTGTCCCAATATTAACTGCGTGCAGTCATTGTGGTTTGGTGAATGAGGGACTGCAATATTTTAAGGAGATGAAGAAGTATGGGTTGACGCCAAAGGAAGATCATTATACTTCTTTAATTGATATGTTGGGACGAAATGGAATGCTTGAAGAGGCATGGCATTTGGTGAGGGAAGTTGAAGAGCTGGGTAATAAGTCTTATGCGGGTTCCATTTGGGCTGCATTGCTTGGGGCTTGCCAATTGTATGAAAACATTGAAATTGGAAGAAAGGTAGCACAGAAGATGTTGGAAAATGAAAAGCAGATTTCAACGACCTGTATTGCATTATATAATGTCTATGCAACAGCAGGGATGTGGAATGAAGCATACGAAACAAGAGAGTTTTTGACCAGAGAAGGAATTGCCAATGGAGAGGCTGGTCTTAGTCGCCTCTGCACGCCTCCTCTTTGATCTGACCATTTCAAGCAACTTTAGTCATTTAGTAACAGCAAAGGTTTTAGCCGCAGTCTAAAAAGTGATTAGGTAAAACCTGCTCTAAAGTAGTCAAATTGCTGTAATAATGAAAATATATACCAATTTTAGAACATAGGAATAAAAAGAGAATTTCAGTTTTTATGTACATTTTAAAGTTGTCGAATGAGGACTATAATACCATTGGTTAGAAAAGAGTTCATTAACAAAAAAAATAGCTCTCAGAGATCCTTTTTAACTGTAACTTTACGGTAGAAATCTGCGGTCAGTAATCTATACAAGGGGCACTATGCAATAGCTAATCATTTTTGCAGCTCATGATTCTATCATCCTTTTTTATTAGATGTCTACTATAGCGGTTGGAACACAAGTTTTCTTTTGCAATAGGCCAATAGATACATTACTGTGTTTCCAAATTTCTGTTCATTTTATATGCAAAATGAAGATTTATTGTGTGTGAGGGAGAGGTTTACATAGAGATGAAATCTTTAATTAGATGTCCACTATATCTGTCTAAAGGAGCATATTTTCCGTGTCCAAATTTCGTACAAATCTTTAATATGCTACGATGTCATGTTCATCAGGTATATGATTCCCTTTAATCTATTGACTAATATGTTTTATGTTGAATAGGCTGCAAGGTATAATGATATTGAAGATATAATGAGCTTAGTATCCTCCGGCGTGTCTCTCAATTCAAAGGATTCACAGGGCCGAACTGGTATTGATTTGATCATTCTTTGACTTCTTAGAGAGAGTTTATAAATTAGTGAATAACACCTCAGTTGTTACTTACTGTTAGTCTGTTACTTGATTCTTCTTAAATTTAATTATGCTACATCCAACTCCCGTGCTTGTTTGCAAGTCCCATACTCATGCTTTATCCTTATGCATGACTTATTAACCTAATCTAGGAGCTCTAATATGGAAACATGTTATAGTAGTCTGTAATGTGATGCTTTGCTCTCATAGAAGTAACTAAATACTTTTTGTATTGTATGTTATTTGTGTAAGCCCTATACCTAAATAGAAACTTCCCCTCCAATTGTGTGATTGACCTCCAACACTTTTTGCTATTTGTTTGGGATTAAGTTGTTTAGTTGAACTAGTATGTTTTATACTAATCATTCTATTCTACTCTATAGTTGATTGTGTATTTTCTGAGACGGATTGTTTGGGATAAAGGGCCTTTTATGTATTCTTGTACTCATATTTTATTCTCATGTATGTAATGTTGTTTAATTGTAAATGATTTGCAGCACTGCATATGGCTTCTGCTAATGGGCATTCTGACATTGTAGACTACCTTATTCGCAATGAAGTAGTGAGTGCCATCATGGTTGCAATTACAATTCAGATACTTACTCTACACAGATTAGTTTACATCTTTAGCATCTGATTTGACCAGATTTGTGTTGTTTCGGTTTCCTTCCTCTTTTTAACAATGCGTATTTCTTAGTTAAGAAATTATTGGTGTATGAAATTTTTATTTTAAATTTTGTGGTGAATTGAAGTACTCCCATCCGCAAAGATGTTAATACTTATTGTCTTCTTGTGGAAAAGGATGTCAATGCTTCTAACGAGGAGAAAAATACACCTCTTCATTGGGCTTGTCTTAACGGGCATGTCGAGGTATATTGCTGTGTTCTAATGTGCATTAACTTCATTTAATGCAAAACGGTCTGGGCTTATTACTGTCTTGTCTCTATCAGGTTGTCAAGAGCTTGATTCTTGCTGGAGCCAATGTCTCGGCGCTAAATAGGTGAATTGTTTATGAATTATAGTAGTAGATGGTACTCTTTAATCTTTATCGTTGAGGTTTGGGCTGACTAAATTGTTGCATTGCTTGATGATTAATAGCCATGAGAGAACCCCCATGGATGAAGCAGTAAGCGGAGGGAAAGTGGATGTGATTGATGCAATCAACCAGGCAGTGGCACAGCTTGAACTTTCGGGTGCAACGGTTTCTTAAAACCACACTGGTATTGGTTTGTCAGTGTTTAGAAGATGGATTCCTATGGTTACTGAGAATAGTGCGAGAGCGAAGAAGTTGGGGAAGAAACTTCTTTTATTCAGTTTATTCAATACCAACTTACCAAGACAAACTAATATATAATATTCTCCCTATATATTGGAGTTACAGGATACAACTAAAGATATAAGGAAATAATATTCTAAAATCTGCTGAACTAAATATAAAGGCAATCCTTAATAAAGGAAACAACATAACTAAAGTAGTTAAGGAAACAATATAACTAAATTGATTCTTAAGCATTGTGAACAAGTTGGGCAGCAGGATTTGTATTGTATCATTACACCCTTTTCAAAGATCAAGCTTGAAGTAGGGTACAATGTTCAAAGTTGAATTCATGTGATTCCCTCGAATGCGTTCAACTCTGTGGATGCAAGCCAAGTAGACGGTTCTTCACCATGTCCACAACATAAGCATTTATGGCTAGAAAAAAATTACTCATCGCAATTATAACACAATTTTTTGACATCCCATTTTGACCTTTTTCTGTTGAGGATAAGAATTTATACGGACCCGGCACCTACGTTTAACATTCTGTTTGCGATCATCTTTTTCAGCTCCATAATCCTGTTGCCTTTTATTTCCTCTTGGACTACCACCAGCATCTTCACCAAATACCATTTCAAACCTTGAGTTATCATCTCCACCGTGCTGCCTGTTATCTTCTTTAAGTATGTATTTTGGATGATGATGTTGGGTAAAGTGCGAATGTGATCACACTTAAAGCAACCTCCTCCTTTACCCATTTCATCCTTGCGGTTTCTATACTGGAACCAATATTTTGCAACACTTTGACTGAAATCAACATGAATCCTTCGATCATCAATTAGAGCATTATCCATCTTAAAATATGCTTCTTCACAGGCTTCTTTCTCCTCAAACTCAATAAAAGCATAGCACAAACTATCTCCAGCCTTGTAATCTCTTATTATTTCAGCAGAAGTCACTCTTCCGAAACGTGAAAAGATAGTATACAGGTCTTCATCTTCCGTTACTGGGTTTAATTTACAAACAAAGAGGACATTATCAGGAGGTTTTATCTCAGCATCAGGAATATCCCCTATACTTTGGAGCACAATTGCACGAGAATGAGCTTCCTTTGCACGCAGAACCTCCTCAAGTTCTTGAGTTCCTATCTAGTGTATCAATTCCTTCTGCCACCTCTCCAAAAACAGTGTGCTTCCCATCAAGATAGTCCAGATCATCTTGCAGCGTGATATAGAACTGAGAAGCATTAAGATTCTCTCCAGCACTAGCCATGGCAACACTTCCCTTCTTAGAATGCTTCAAATCCAAACCAAAGAATCGAGCCTGATCACCGTACAAAAATTTGTAAATTGAATCACCACCAGAACCAGTTCCAGTAGGATCACCTGTCTGAGCGGTGAAATCCTTTTGAATTGTGTGGAATAGACAGCCATTATAATACTTGATCTTGCACAGCTTTAGAAAGTTTTTGCACGTCAAAGGACAACGATCGGTGAACAAATCCACAACCAAGTCTCCCAAGCTCGTCACTATCATCACCGACATTGTGCGTGCGTTTAAAGAGATGCAATGGAGAAATGGAGATTGAGGCGGGGCTTTGGAAATTGGAATTTCGTGGTGTTTCTTCCTCGCAGAGATGATTTTTTTTTTTTTTTTAATTAGTGATCTCGGTAACGAAACCAGATGATATGTGAAAATATTCTTTTATTATTTGTGACTAGTGATGAGATAATCAATATATTTATAGACATCTAATTCCTATACAATTCCCATCCTTCCTATTCCTTATAGGAGACAAACTTATATTCATAATCCCCTGTATGAGACAAATCAAATCTGTATTGTATTAGGTATCAATCAAGGTAGTATATTTTTGTTGTACTAGAGGTTGTGAGTATCTGACGGTTTCTTAAAACCACACTGGTATCAATCAAGGTAGTATATTTTTGCTGCTAGAGGTTGTTAGTATCTGTCAAAAGCGTTACCGTCTTTTAAATAAATTTTTATACCAAGACAAGATGTTAACGTCTTTGTATTCTTAACTACTTGAGATGAGAAGGTAGGTCATAGGTGAAAACATGTTAATTTTTTGGTCAGGGTGAAAACATGTTAATGTCTGTGTTCAGTGTTCTTAAATGCTTGAGACGGTAAGCCAAAGCACATGTTAGAAGAAGTTTTATGTTCAAACTTATCGCTTTATTTTTCGTCTATCACTTTTTTGTTGGTCGCTTTGTCCCAATGTACTTTAAGTTATAATTCAATCTTCAATTGTAGTTTCATAAAACCCAACAGGCTAGTTCAAATGGCAAATGAGCTCTCTTTATAGGGGAGAATTTTGGGATAACCCGGGTTCAATTTTCACAAGTGACGATTCAGAGAAAGACTTGGACCACAGTGTGGTTTACACCTAAAAAAAAATTTGTAGTTTCATAAATAAATAAATAATGCATTAATAAAGTTTTGAAAAAAAAGCTCAACAATATAAATATGTGCAAGTAATAAGTAGATCATCAAACTAAAAATATGTGCAAGTAATAAGTAGATCATCAAACAAGCAAAAAACTGTGCAATTTATATATTTTTGACTAGTTATCAAAAAGTTTTATATTTTTGTGTTGAGATGACATGTAGTGATCTCTCTTGTGGGAGGTCATAAGATCGAGTCTCACAGTAGCATTCAAAAAAATTAATTATGAAAAAGTTTTTAGATAATGATTGCTTAGTTGTCTACTTAAGTGAAATTATTAATTATTTTTCAAGTTGATATGATAGAAAAATAAAAATAAAAATAAAAAATAAAATATTTTTGAAAAAGGAAAAAAATAAATAAAAAGGAGATCCCCTCCCTATGTGCTACAGAGGAGGCAACCATGGTTGTCTTTCCTCTTCCTTTTATTTTTGTCTGCTTAAAAAGTAATAAATATTTTTATGTAAGTAAATAACTAAGCAATTATTATTTGGAATTCAGGAAATCAGTTGGTAACTTGGTAACTTTTAAAAAAGTGCAATTCTCACTTTTTTACTTTTTCGATAATTTAATTACACATGCTTTTAATTTGATGTTTTTTTTTTTTTTTAATTTGATGACTTAATTGCATAAAAAGAGAAAATTTTTAAAATGGTCATTTGAGATTCTTTTTCAAATTGGTCCTATGATTTTTAATTGAATCCAAACTGGTCTTCCAACTATTAGATTTTAAACCAAATTGATCCTCCGTTAGCTAGGCGTGAACTTGGTCGTCAAATTAGAGGGCAAAACAAGAAATTTATATTGTATAATATTTAGATTACCAGCGCCTTTGATTTTTCTCCCAAATTAGTGAACGAATTGTTGAAGTCTGAAGAACCCTAATCTAATTGAGACTAAGCAAAGGTAGCAAAATTCTTCCAGAGCATATCAGGAAACCATAGATTTTACGCAATAGCTTAAATACATTCAGCAATGGAGTCAAAATTTTTATATAATGGAATATATGAGCTTAATTTCTTGTTTTGCCATTTAATTTGACACCAAGTTCACGCTCAACTAACGGAGGATCGATTGACTTAAAATCTAATAGTTAGAGGATCAGTTTAGGTTCAATTAAAAGTCATATGACCAATTTGATAAAGGGCCCTAATCGGAGGACCATTTTAAGAATTTCCTTCCACAAAAATATCAAGTTTAGTGGCTTATTTATCATTTTTTTCTTAAAGTTTTTAATTTTAGTCTTATCCACAAAGTATATATGAAAAAAAAAAAAAAAAAAAAAAAAAAAAAAAAAAAAAAAACTTCCTTTTACTTTATTTTTACCCCTCTTATTTATTTATTTATTTTAAAACATTCTATTTTTCAATTAAAAGATAAATTCAATGCTTGCTCAACCTATGGGCTAACACTAAAAATAAATTAAATAATGAAGCCTTAATTATGAAAAAAGGCTACAATTACTCATATACGCAAATTATGCTGTGGTCTCGTGTCCACAATGCATTGTGGACACGAGTCTAAAACGACGTCGTTTTAAGGGAAAACGCGGCCTTTTAGTAAAAAAAAAAATTGATTTTGTCTCGTCGTTAACGGCGTTATTCGTTTGTTGCATTATGAATGTACAGTTATAGAATTATGAATGTACAGTTATGCAATTATGAATGTACAGTTATGGAATTATGAACACAGAGCTCTGACATTATGAACTTACAATTATGAACATATAGTGATAAAATTATGAACATAGAGCTCTAAAATTGTGAACATAGAGTTTCGAAAATTATGAATTTATAGTTATTGAATTATGAATGTACAGTTACGGAATTATGAATGTACATTTATGCAATTATGAATGTACAGTTATGCAATTATGAACACAGAGCTCTGACATTATGAACTTACAATTATGAACATATAGTGATAAAACTATGAACATATAACAAAGTGGTCTGGAATTTTTTTATTTTTTTATTTTTTTAAAATGTGGAAGAGAGCGGTGCCACTAACGGGCTAACGGCACCGTTACCGTGTCCAGCATGCATGCTGGACACGTGTCCATAGCATAACGATTGACTCATATAACAACAAATTATATTATGGACCATGGTTTACATTGTTAGTTCCGATTTTGAATCAATGTGATTACAATTCGGTTCCCATTTTGAATCGGCGATTCACGATTTTGAAAAATGGCAAACTAGTAGTTCTGATTCGGATTGGAAGTTTTTTTTTAATTCTATTTTTTATTTTTAAAAGAGTTCAAATTTAATAATTATTTTTTAATAAATTTTTTTCATTCTTATTTTTTTATAAAATAATTATATCAATATTTAAATTTTAAAGTTAACTAAAAAAGTTAAAAATAATTTTGGGCTTGCGTTTAATTGTAGAGCATCATATATAAGGTAAATTAATTGACTATTCTTCGTGTATTGATTTTTTCAAAGGAAAATGACACTTTTTCCCCTGAGCTATATACATATAGCATTTTTTCTCCTTGAATTATTCAAGTAAGTACATTAGCCCCCTCAATTATTCTAAAAGTGACGGTTTTTTCCTTGATAAATTAAATTAACATTTTTACCTTAAACGTTAACATTTTATTTATTTTTCTTCTCCAACAAATTATTGCGTATACGTAGAGATGCCTACGGTTTGGTTCGAACTGAATCAAACACTATAGCAATCGAATTAAAAGTTTTCGGTTATGATTCAGATCCAAAACCCAATATTTTGATTTCAATTTATTAAAATTATGAATCGAAAAAATTGGATCCTGAACCATGAACCGGCGGTTTCGGATTTGGTTCGCGATTTTGAACCGTCTTTATTTTAAAATTTTATTTTTTATTTTAAAATAGTCTAAATTCAACAATAAATTTATTTTTTTTCAATTCGGAACATGAACCGGCTGTTCCGGTTCGCGTCTTTAATAAACTCTAAATATCGAGTTTCAATTCTAAATTGTAATTGGAATATTTCGGGTTGGTTGCTATAGTGTCTGTTTGGTTTGAATCAAATTGTGGTCATAATTTGTTGGAGAAGAAAAATAAATGAAATATTTATATTAAATATTTATTTTAAAGATAAATATGTTTATTTAACATTTCAGAGGGAAAAACACCTCTTAAATAATTCGGGGGGGGGGGGGGGGGGGGGGAGGGGATGCTATAAGTATATAATTCAGGGGGAAAAAGTGTTATTTTCTCTTTTCTTTTCTTTTTTTTTTTTTTTTCAATTTCAATTAAATAATTGAAGTGTAATTATATTTATCTTATGTATTTTAGTTGTGGATTGTGTGACTGGCCACGAGCCATTGCATATTTCCATTATTAGGTTTCTGACAAGTGACTTATGAATCTGGAACTCGTAAAATAAACAATTAATGAGACATAACTTTATGTATTTGTGGTGATAGTTGATTGTTGCTTAATGAGTTCAATTAATGTTGATGAAATATCATGATCACACTTAGTTGAATACAATCTAACTATATGGAGTATATTAAGATATTTTGAAGCAGTCATTACCATAATTGCAAAAATCAATACTTAGAAGGCTAGTTAATGATCTAATATGTGATCTCCAAATCCTTAACGAGGCGTTTGATTGGAAGGAAGGAATTGTATTCTATGGGAGTGAATTATTCGGAATAAAGTGAGAATTTAAATTCCAGTGTTTGGTTTAAAGGAATAGAATTATTAGAAATTTCAATTTCAATGTTTGGTATTGGTAGGATATATCCAGACCGACAAGAGATGGGTTCATCTTGTAGTTTGTGCAAGATCTTTAGGTCGGGCGTCGTTAAGACAAGGCGGTCGGACCCGACCGGTGGACTTCCTGACCGGCGTTATTTCCCGGTCATCGTGCCTTTACTTTACGAAGAGACAGAGATGTTGGAGAGAGGCACGTGGCAATGTTATGCGTTGACAGAGAAGGCTCGCCGGGTGAAGACGCGTGGATGTTACGTGGATTACATGCCGGTAAGCCGGAGTTTTGTCTCCGGCCAAACGCTATAAATACCCACAGCGGCTACAGTGAGGGGGACTTTTGGACGACAATAGGCTATTTACAGAGCAGCCTGACCGCAGTCAGTCGGCCCTCGAGATAGCCATTTAGATTGTATTAGGTCACCCTCTGAATAATAAAATCACCTTTGCTATTATTACTTGTTCTCATTCAGTACTTAGACCGCATACACATGGGTATTAGTACTATCAGGTATACATGAGAATTGAAAAGCAATAAGTAGTATAAAGTCTAAAATGTTCATACTTATTATTATTATTATCAACTTTAAGTTAAAAAATATATGGGTAATTTTGTCTCAAAGTTATACTTTTTTCTTCTTAAAATCCATGAAATTGAAATACCAAGAGGGAGCATAGGATTCTAATTCTATGGAAATGAGGGAATTCTAATTCCGCCAAATTGACTCCCTCCAACCAAACAAAAAAATTTACTTACCATCAAAATCACGTGAAAATAGAATTGTAATTCTCTCCATCTCTGTAATATTTTCTCAATTGGAAGTTTTTCTTTGCTTGAATTTCTTTTATTTGTGTTTTTCTTATCAACAAAAATGGTTATTCAAGATAACAGTGGCTTGTACCTACAATGATTGTGATTGGCGTCGGAATTGCAAGGCCGCCGCCGGCGCAGTTGAAGTTGCAGATTTGTTGTGCGTTGAGCAAGCAAGGCGACCGTTTTCTCCGGTCCCTGGTTGTTACCTCCCCCAACCACGACCTCCATCGCTTGCTTCGGAAGTTCGTCTCCTCCTCTTCCAAAAACGTTGCTATTACCACTCTTTCCCATCTCCTCTCCCCCACCACCACCGCTACCCACCCTCGCCTCTCATCCTTCGCCCTCCCTGTACGTATCTCTCTCTCTCTCTCTGTACACCTGCATTCATCTGTTATTTATTCGTGTAAATGTGTGTGATTGCAGTTGTACTTGGTGATAACTGAGGCCTCGTGGTTCGATTGGAATCCTAAGCTAGTAGCAGACCTCATCGCTCTGTTGCACAAGCAGCAACGATTTGATGAAGCTGGAACCCTAGTTGCGGAAACAGTCTCCAAATTAAGCCCCCGGAAGCGCGATTTATGTAGCTTCTACTGTCACCTAATCGATTCCCAATCCAAACACAAGTTACGGGAAGGAGTTTTCGAGAGTTACGCCCAATTGAAGCAGTTGCTTCTTTCAGGCTCCTCCTCGGCTTACTTGAAGCGACGTGGATATGAATCCATGATCAAAGCCATGTGTGAGGTTGGATTACCTTTTGAAGCTGAGGAGATGATGGAGGAAATGAGAGGTGTAGGCCTCAAGCCATCCAAGTTCGAGTTTCGTTGTCTGGTTTATGGATACGGAAAAATTGGCCTCTTTGGAGAGATGAAGAGGATTGTGGATCAAGTGGAGGGAGAAGGATTCCCGCCAGACACCATTATTTCAAATATGGTTCTCTCCTCCTTTGGAGCTCACAAAGAGTTGGCAGAAATGTGCTGTTGGCTTCAAAAGATGAAAGCTTCAGGCATTGCGATTTCAATTAGGACTTACAATTCAGTCCTGAATTCATGCCCTAAATTAAACCTAATGCTGCGCGACATGAAGAATATGCCTCTTTCACTTGAAGAGTTAGCGGAGGATCTGAGTGGGGACGAACGTTCACTAGTTCTCCACCTGGTTGATGCATCATCAATATCAGTTATGGAGTGGAAGGCGTCGGAATTGAAGTTAGATCTGCATGGAATGCATTTATGCTCTGCATATTTGATTATGTTACAGTGGTTCGACGAGCTTGGATCAAAATGTGATTACGAGCTTCCAAACGAGATTAGGGTAGTATGTGGGTCAGGAAAGCACAGCGCTGTTAGAGGGAAATCTCCCGTGAAAGATTTGGTGAAGAAAATGATAGTGCAGATGAAGTGTCCGCTTAGGAATGATGACAAAAATATTGGATGCTTTGTTGCCAAAGGGAACGTTCTCAAAGAGTGGATGATGCAATATCATATGAAGCCAGCCAACCTCTCCTCTTGAATTGGATTTTCATCATTTTTCTCACAATAACACCATTGGCAGTTGAAACATGATAACAAAATTGATGCTACATTTCTTTGTATTGGGGTATTTTCTGGATCTATGGCTGACATGGTTAAACAAAATTGAAGACTGCAACAAATCCAACCACTTCTCCACATCCACGTCTGCACTTGATCCAACCACCAATTCTTGCTGCCAATTTACATCAAATCAGAGTACTTTAGTTGAAAAATCATCACTGAATTTTTTTTATTAAGGCTGAAAGAGAAGCTGACAAATCAACCATACCAGCTTGTCCAATTTCTCCAGATTGCCGGTTACCAACAAGTGAGCTGCGAGGGCAATTGCTAACTAGACAAGTTGATCAGAACTCGAGGTCAATGGTGGGTGGGCTCTATTCTGTTGAATCTCCCACACACTGCACAGGAGGGGAAGCAACAATGCTGTTAAGCACCATGTAAAAACACCCCTGCACAGGAGAGGAAGCAAGAGGATGGAAATTACCATGTTAAACTCCTCTAAGCATATATGATGATTAAAGAATAACTGCAGGTTATAATACCAGTTGTTTGCCTCTGTGCATACTTTGTTATCATGGACCAAAACTTGTTACTGACAACCAAAAACTCACAGATGGATGTGAGTTAATGAGAAATCTGAATACTAGTCCAGTAACCTCAAAACCAAGGCATCCACCATATGTACATTTTTCCAAGATTTTTGTGCGACACTGCTTCAGCAATCAAGCGCCGAGCTTGTCCTTCTACTGCTAGAGGCAAAGAAGGTGCAGCTCCAACACCAACTACTACTCCTTGTAAGCGTGCTTCAATGTTGCTGATTGCCCTCTGCATTTTGAGGAAAGACGATTGTCAAAAGTATTTCCATTAACACTTACATATTCAATCATCATTAACTATGTATTCAATTTTATGTGAAGCCAAAGTTGCATATAACTAGTCCTCGCATATATAAGTACCTAAGCCTTCATAGCTAGGCAATAACGAAAGATCAATACTTGACTGAAATTTCATATGAAGAGTATAACTTTTACACTTGACAACCGCATATCTATATATACAAAATACAAAGTGAAATGACAAAAACTCCAACCTGTGCATGAGGGTTTTGAACCTCCACCCCACTGGATTTGTGAGATTTAGTCCATTCCACAAGAGGATCATGGACGAAAGTCTCTAGTACACTCGTTAGTGTCTCCCGGTGATTCCTCAATACTGAAAGTGTGATCTCGCTAACTTTCAGGAAGATACCCTCATATCCTGTTATTCCCAAACCATCAACCATGTTCTGCATATCACACTTCAATAAGTCAATATTCTCTTTTTTTCTTAACATAGAGCACCCCTTCCCCCCAATTCCCACAGGCAGGAGTTAAAAAAATATCCAATCAATTGAGTTCAGATTGAATCAATGGCACTGACTTGGCAAATGCTAATGACCTCTCAAAAAAAAGAGGGGAAAACACAAAAATGAGGGGATGGGGGGGGGGGGGGTGGATGGGGGAGGAAATCCTATTGTAGTTTGAGTATTTGGCCCTCACCTGTGTAAGCCTGAATGGAACAAGCTCAGGTTTCTCCAATAGCAAGCCTTTATCAAATAAGCAACTGAAATCCACATGAACACAGTCCCCTGTGGTAGAATCGAAAAGTATGTTTTCGCCATGACGATCTCCAAGGCCCACAATGTGTCCAACCATTGACCAAACAGCAGTAGTATGTGCATAGGCAACTCGAGCCCTAAACCAAGCAGCTGGTTCAGAAAATGTGTTTAGAAACCATTTATGGAAAACTGGAGGGAACATTGGAAGGATTCTGTTCTGCAGCATTTCCTCTTCAGGCATTTTTCCTTGACTTTGGTCATAAATGCGCTTAATTTGAGGATTAGTTTTCTGTCTATCAAACTTGCCACAGCTTATATAAATGTCTTGGAGAATTTGTCGAAGACCACGAGTATGTGGCACCCATTCAACCATACCACAGTCCTCTGTTAATGGAATCACTGCAAATGTGCGAATGTAAAGCTTCCTCCTCCGACTCTCAGGGCATTTAGACAATAATCGATTGACCATTGCATTGAATTCCATCATGCGTGCATCTTTTCTCAAGTCATCCTTCGGTTTGCAAAGGAATGGACGTTCACTTCCATCACTGCCCAAAAGAATGACCTGCAAAACCAAAGAGCAACCATCTAGGATGATCCCAATCAAGATATGTGCTCTGCAGAACCACCAATTCAGGCAACGATAGATCTAATAGCTTTTATATCAGATACTTCTGTTCTGACAGGAATTTATGATGCATGATATTGGGCTCCATTCAATATATAATTCACAGTATCCTTAACACTGATGAATAGAGATGGAATGGGACTATGGGAGGGAAAGAAAGGACAAAGAAAATTAGACAAGGCAACTGGCATGCATAAAATGAAAATCAATCATTTCAGCAAGAAAGTCAGTATAAACTTGCAGTATAGTATACTTGAAGTATACACGTAAAACATCTAGAAGACCCTACACCAAACCAATAAGTAAAATCAGTAGTAAACAGAAAGACTTACTTTCTTTGGACGCTGAAGTGAAGAAAGAATATCAGCCTCATCACTAATTCCAGATATAGTAGGAAGATCAGTAAAAGAGAATGTATCAGCTGCAACAGAATCAGTTTGATTTATATAATATGAGGGCAGGTTAACAGTAAGTGATTGTTGGGTTGGCATAATGATATCCACTGGCATCATCCTCTTCAAAGCACTGAATTCAGTTGAGATATTTATTGTTCTTGCCCTTGGTTGACCAGCATGAAAACACAACTTGATTAGATGGTCAATCAGAGTAGCAAATTGTGTAAACAAAGAGTTCACACCTTTGTCAGTAGATCTTTTTCTGGCAGCTTGAATAATCTCTGCAGCAGCTTCCCTCCTTGAAGAAACTGTCGATTTTGTAACAGCTGCCATAATCCAAAGAGCTTGTTGTGGATATTGCTGTAGAACAGAAGTAATTATGTGTTTCACCAGCCTAACAGTTTCGTCATTCTGATGGCAAATTCTAGAAACGAGTTGTGGCAAAACAGTTAACCATTGATAGGTTGGCAAATCCTTTAAGCAGCCCCGCATAATGTTCATGACCTGCACATGTTATAGATGCTATATAAGCACAAAAGAAAAGACCAAAAGTTGCCATTCAGTAGGTAATTAAAAAAAGAAAAACACTTTATTGTAAACAACCACCTTCCCATGGATGCTCTTCATGTCTCTGGTAGAAGCTACATTACTTTGATGGTAAACGCTCCCAAAGTCAAACCAAAGAGTTAATAATCTTGGAAGCGCTTGAAAAAGATTCTTGTGGCCCCTATGAAGGCCTTTAGCATAAAATAATAGTACATCGGGAAGATTATACCACCATGGTTTCTCAGCATTCAAGCTGGTAGAAGAAACTGGATTGAGATTTGATGGCACCACCCTGGAAAGCAGTTCCGTTTTATCTTCCTGCCTCTTCCTTGCATCAACAAGCAGTTCATCGCAATATTTAGCCATATAAAAGTATCCATTTTCCCACTTGGGCTGCAGTTCCTTCACTCTAGAGTATAGATTTATCATATCTTCTTTCTTCTTTTGACCAGTATAATGTATCCACCTTGAATATAATAGGAGGGTTTTGGCAACATCTCTAGTCTCATTTAAAGACTGGGTATTAGAAAGTAGAGGTGGAGGGTTCAGTGGAACCAATGAAAGGCTTGTGATAGATGATATTGCTGCAGAACCAACAACCTCCACAGGCATACTCAGAAGTGCTTGTTGGAGCTCTGCAATGGCGCCATCAGCTCGCCTAGTGCTCCAGAGAAGCTTAGCCTTTTCCACATTGACATTAGGTGCCATTGTGGCTTCTAAGACAACCCTGGCTTCTAAGATTGCCCTATTTGCAGTCTCATAATGACCAGCAGAGCGACAAAGCTTTGCATATTGTATCCAACAATTCCCAACTGAAGCCCTGACACCACTAGCACAAAAAACAAGCCTCCGGAAAGCCAAAAGTGGCTCCCTTGCCCAGAGAGATGGTTGAGTGAGTTTGAGTCGGTTTTCCCAGTTTTCCGTTAGTTTTGGGAACTGTAGTTCATCAAGATGTAATGATTTTTCCAAAAAAGATTCACCTCCAAGAAGAAAGTTGAATTCCTCCAACTCCCGTAGCATGTGAAGCTTTACAACAAATGGGTAAGCCCGTGCATAAGAATCCATGCCAGCAGCAGCCAAAGGGCCAATCAAAGCTTGCTTGGACAATGCAATTTTCTCATCAACAGAGAATTGATCTTTCTTCATCATCGCTTGAAGAATCTTTGCAACATCCATGTCAAATGAAGCATTACTCTCAGCGCTGCTGCAAATTAAACCTTCTTTATCAGCCCCGTTGAGGTACTCATCCATCAAGTCCCATCTGCCAAGTCTCCATGCAGCCTGAATACCTTGCATGCACCACATTTTCCTATATTCAGGAATCCTCGACATTAATCCAGTTACGTAAGTAACCATGCCCTGCAAATGGTACATGTTTAGCAAGCAGTTAAGAACATCCGAATGCCTCTGGACAGATGTGGGTTCCATTTGCAGAGCTTGCTCACATGAAGTTAGAACTTCTGCCCAGTTTCCAGCTTTTTTATTTATCAAAAAATGATCTTGCAAGCTCTTTGCCTTGCGTAGAGAAGCAAAACCAGACAAGCCATCTGGTTCATCCAAGCCACTATATATCTCCATTAGGAATGAAATGTCTTCATCCTCAAAGATGCCACTCTTTTCAGAGGATGGGTTGAAAGATCCTGACTTCTCCCGTACATAAGATTCAAAGTATAACAAAGACCTGGCATAAGCGTGACACCTAAAAGATGCCCTAGCAAGAGTAACTTTAGGAATTGCTGCCAAAAGCTCAGAAACATGTTTACATTGCATAAGCATCTGTTCTGAATCATTCTGCTCCTTCAATTTTAAAGCTTGTTGCCTAGAATTGGATGTTTGAACAGACAGTGAAAGAGCAAGATCTTGTTCTACGTCATACACCCATTGGCCCAGATTATCAAGAAGAGTAAAAACAGCTTGAATACAGACTTCATTATGCCCAGAACTAATCCCGTGGACAACAGCATTGTTACTCTCTGATGCAGCTGCACGAAGAACAAATAGAATCTCTTCCGCTATGCCATGGCGTGCCTCTTCAGTTCCATGACACACAACATGCAAGACTAAATATGGCAGAAGATACATTGCTATTTGCATGTCATGACGGACTATACCACGACAGGCATTGAAAATAGTAGCCCGAGAACCTATTGCATGCACAGTCAATTTTTTTATCCAAAAAAATATCCATCTTCTGAATGACATTGAAGGGCGGTAAATGGGACCAGAAGATGCTGAATCTGACAAATTTGGAAGTTGAAATCTTGAGGTCAAGCAAGGAGCTATGATTTCTTTAACATAATCAGAGAATCGGTTCCACAATCTCTGACCCCTTTCATACAAATCATTGCAATTTCCAGAGCTTTTCGGTGTAGATGCAAGTGACTTCAAAGGTTGTTTACTTATTCTCTTTGATGTAGAACCTGAAACATTTTCATCAAGAGATGCCTCACAACCTGCAATCTTTAGAAGTTCCTGTATAGCCAAAGCAGCTGAATCTTGAATAATAGTGTCAGGTGCTGCTCTGAAAGCCCTGGCTAGATGTTTGTGGATCAATTCAAAAGTAAGATCATCATCTGAACAAGCAATTTTGAAGCGTGTGTTTGAAAATCCCTTGATTTTGGCAGGATCCACAGCTCCAAGTGATCCAAGACAATCGGCACAAATCAACTTCAGCCGCTGCCCAACCATAGTTCTTGATTCTTCTGCACACCCTCTAAGTAAGGATGTAATCAAACTGCTCATAACATCCATACTTGGATCCCCTTCC